TTTATACAGCACACAACGATTTTGAAGTGAAAATACACACACGCCTTCATACACAGAGGCAAACCTGGGGGTTTTAGCAGTAGTCACAAACTGCTGTCTGAGAAGAAATAAATACATAGCTCTCAGTTAGAGGAAACAACATAGTCATGAGATCACAATATGCAGGACTCGGACTCCAGCGATGCACGTAAGCGGCTGAATCTCAACATAAAACTGTACCACGCCAAGTCCATGCAGAGCAAGCGAGACTTTGTCTCTTCTTTCTAAAGCAGGGAAGTTTTTCATTTGGCTCCTGCTAACCCAAACCAAAGGAATGTTGGTGTGGTTAGTTTATTATGAAGCTACATGCTCCTGACTGTTCTCATTTAGAGACTACTGAATAGATAAATAAGTCTGTTTGTTACGAGACAATTTTGGCAAACACTGGCGGGAGTCCATCTTCTTATGGCACTGCTACTGAGGACAGCTCAGGGGAGATTTGTGAAGTGAGCAAGGTTTGACTTGGTCATCTCATAGTTCCCTTCTGTACTCCTGTTTCTCCATTTTAGCTTCCCTTCGTCCCCCTGGCTTACTTAAGCCAACATTTATGGTACTTAATTCGGCATCTATGGTATCATTTACCAGGCACTGTGCTTGGGTGCTTGGCCTTGGTCCCAGAATATTCATGGCCTTCACTGGTATTTGGACGTTGAACTTGTTCCTTGTCATTCCATAGCCTGAGCCTACGTGAAAAACATTTCAGGCTAAGAGCAGTGATTGATTTCCATCATCATCTGCAACTGCCTGCTACCTGATTTTTAAATTGATGCCTCTGTCACACACATGCACACACACACACACCCTTCAGCCTTGGTTGGCTGATTTGGGAGAGACCAGCTGTAGCAATCTATGAGTTCTCTTTATTGCTTCCTGATGAAGGGGTGTGTTAGAGGCTCAAGATCATTCAACAGTAATGTCGAGAATGGGTGACCATCCAAACACAACCAGAATGATGTCACTGTAGAAAAAAAGTAAAGCGTTTGTAAAGTGCATGCTATTTCCTTTCATTATCACTACTGCTACACATTTTTTAAAAAGTGGAATTATTCTAATTTCTCCCCAAAGTCTCCATTTTCACAGTGGCTGACAGAAGCCACCCACGCAGGTACCATGGTATGTGGAGGGCAGAACGCTCAGCTGGTCATCCTGAGACCAGGCTCGAAGACTCCTCTGGTGTGATCAGCTGAAGAACCTTGCTATCTGGGAGAGAAACTGTGGCATACCCAGCAGGACAAAGAGCACAGGCCAAGTAGGAGAAGACCAGGACTCTAGGCTGCCCTCTGCTACCAACTAGATGGGTGACTCTGGGAAAGTGACGGACCCTTCTTGAGTCTTAGTGTCTTTATTTGTTCAGCAAAAGAGAGGGTCTCATGTAAAGTGTGTTCTGACAGAAAATGAACATTTGTAATGGCTTCTCATGGCTACAATGCATGCTCAGCCTTGACGGTTTAAGTGCTTGCTGGGAACAACTGGGTGGGCCAGCAAATGGATTGGCTGTGGCCTGATGTGTTGGACAGAATAACAGTTTATATTGCCGAAGGGAACCAAATGTGAGGTTAAATGTGGGGGCCTGGCCTGGTTGGTCATGAGTCAACCTCTGCAAAACGTATGCTTCCTGAGCTTAGAGGTATGGCTCTGCACTGATGTGTTTTTTTTTTTTTCCTGTCTTGTCAATTTGGCTAACTGTTGGCATAGAAGAAATTACATGTGCTTCTCTGAAAGTCATTGCCAGGGTAGTCTGGCTCTGCTGCTCAGACATATCCCATTCCATCTGTTCTTTCCTGAAACAGAGGGCTGGCTACCCAGCTTCAGACCCAGGCAATGAAACTGAGCAAGCAGAACTGACACAGCTTTCAAGCTTTAGGTTTCTTGAGCTCCTCGGCATGCTACACTGCATCTCAGCTGGCCCCAAATGGATTGAAGCCAGAAAAAAAAAGGAGAATTGGCCAGTTTTAGCTTTGACCTAATCCACAACACAAACTTATTCTTATCAACATTAAAGGATTCTTCCCACCTTGGTGACTAATTTGCATTTTCCTCTTCTGACCCAGCCTTGCTCCCTGAGGGGTCAGTGGAGAAATTTAAAGGGTTCAAGGGTCACTTCTCAGAAGTCTTCATTGATATCCCCACATAACTTCCTCCCCACCCCAACCGGGGCATTGCTAGGGGTGAGTATTTTGGATCCAACAGCACCCTGTCACTGCCTCACTATAAACACCACATTGTCATCTTCTGTCTCCTCTACTAAGAACATGCAGGCACCTATTATATCTTGTAATTGTGTATGTGCCCAGGGTCTACCACAATAGCAATATATTTTATATCTACTACAACTCAATATATTTTGGTTATTGTGCTAAAAAAGGGTTTTACCAAAATATTGTTCATTTGGAGACTCCCATGTAGGCACACACACACACAATATCCTTTCAAATTTCCTCATGCATAAAATAGAAATAACCATAGTGCCTATTTCACAAGCTTTTGGTGGGTGAGGATTAATGAGACAAAATGCACAAGTGCTCAGGACAGAGGTTGGCTCATAGCACTCACTCAACACATACTATTATAATTTTTAGCCATGATATATCTTTGAGGCAGCTTGACTTCTGCATTTTTGTTTCTTCTAAAACAAGGAGACCCAATTTCTTTTCAGAGAAAAACAGAACATTCCTTCTGTCTTCCAGCCTGCGCCTCAAAGTAACACAGAGAAATTCTTAAAGGTGGCTCTATAACGCACTGTCATCAGGTCACATAAAATGAGAAAACCCAGAGGAGCAGCACCCTTGACGCTAGCTGGTGTGCGGCTGCACTATGAGGAGAGCCCTTGGGTGCAGAAAGCCTCTCCCCTCCCCTCCAAAACCAAGGAAATGCACAGGAAGGAACTACTGTCTTTGAACAATAACACACGTGCCAAAACATAGTTAGACACTGTTCTAGACAGTGGGAAAAAGGCCCCGATAGTCTCACCACATTCCTGGAAGTTCAGTCTCATTTCTGTTGACAAGAGGCTCCAGAGAATGAGGAAATGCGCAGAGAAAGAAGCACAAAAACCTCCAGAAAACCAGTGGGAAGTAAGTAACCTAACACACATGTCCATGAAGAGGCTATTGGATATCGGAGGGCTTTTTTCATTAATAATCAACAGAAATAATGAAGAATTAAAAATAACTAGTTCAATCTGTGAGTCACATACATGGCAAATAAAGGACGCCCTGGCTCACAAGGTGCAAAGAAGGAGGCCCTCACCATGGCAGAAGCTTGGGATGTGTCCAAATACAGCAAGTGTGATATTATAAGATCAGGTTTATCTACTTAACAATGTAAACACATTCAGGCTTCCTACTGTTAGCAACCTGGGTATGGTATTGGGTATTCATTCTCTATGTCATCTTAACTCATATTCTACCAAGTGCTCCTTTTGTGGCTCACACTGAGATTCTTCCTTCAAAAGGTAAGAGACTGGGTCATTCCCTGCAAGAAACAAAACAATACCCTTTCAAAGTGCAACAACAATCACACACCTCCATAATTATTCATCAGGGTCTAATACATGGAGACTGCCCCACAGTTGTCAGTGTGACAGGTGTGTACAAGGTGCCCAGCCAGGGCCTGCCATTTCTGCAAGCATGGAGTTAAAGCGATTCTCGAATGCCATCTCTGTTAACTGAGAGTGCACACTGACGATGAATTGGGACTAATTTGGAAACACTCAGTTGCTTGGGAATGTGTGCATCAATTCCCTTCCTTCATAATTTATACAGCATTTTGATTGTGGTGCTCGGTGATAAATAACTGAAATGACTTCTAACTGCTCTGAGATTTAGTCTTATGTCTTCAACACTGCTTTTTATATTCTCTAATATAGGCCACATTCAACTTTATATGCAAACCTGAAATGGTAATCAGGAAGAGAAGAGAAAAAAAGGCAGCCAATAGATTTGTCACTTTGGGAATTAAATATAAGATCATATTCAAAGTGCAGCATTTATGGCCCAATGCTGAATACATAAAATATATGACCATTACAAATGCACCTCTCATTGCAGAGCCATGCTCTTGTAGTGACATATCTTAGTGCTAGATTAAATCTTTTAGCATGATGAAGGCATCTTTCATCTTCTAGATGCATGGTGGGTACTCCTTCCGGGCTGTATTTCTGCCTGACACAATGCCCTATACCCCCGAGAGATACAGCATACAGAGAACCCAAATAATTCACCAAAGGGCTGCAGCCACTTCTAGGTTAAAGCACCTAATTGGAGGTATGTCATCTGCATGAGTTCACATTGTTTCAGATTGAATTGGATCCCGAAGGGAGAGATCAGTCAATGTTGTTTTCTGGAATTAGCCCAAAGAGGTAAATCTAATACAACAAATATTCAGCTAATACAAGTTTTGGCAACACCAAAAAGACAGTTCCATGTAGGACATGGTACATACCTAGTTACTAGTTAAAGAATATACATATCATGTAAACCAGTGACATGGTTATAATGTAAATGTACTTAAATGAGAACATTCATGGAATGGCATTCCAGATTCTTCTAACTCAACATTAGACCTTAATGTATGGGTCTGCAGGCAGATTTTTGTGAATTCTGCAAATCATAAAATGGTTAATCAGTACTGCTGCTTCTTCCTTTCCTCATTTTTGAAACACATAGTTGAAATCTTGCATTGCCATGAGTCTCTGCCCTGTTCACAGTCATCCCTAAAAGCTATTTTTCCAAGGTCATCTCCTGACTCTCTCCTCTCTTTCCTCTTCTTTAGTCTTTCATGCACCCAGTATTCTTGACATGCACCCTCCTCATTTAACTTCCCCAGTGATAGCCCAGCATGGGGCACACAGCAGGCACTCTGCAAATCTCTGCTGAATGAGTATGAATGGGCGATGAAATGAAGACAGCACATGGTTTTGTGATAGCTATGTTAGATGCACAGGGGCACTTTTCACTTACTTCCCACTCTTAGATGTGTTCCGGGCCTTTGTGGATGATGGAGAGCTGGCGTCTGGATTAGTGTTTGGAGAACCCCGTCTATCCTTACTACACCCACAGAAAGAATAGAAAAATATACAATGACTACAGAGACAAAAAGCGATTAGTCATTACATTGAAAGACTTCCAAGGTGTTTGTCTTTCTCTCTCTCTCTCTCTCTTGCCTGTCAAAATAAAGCATGATCGTATCCAGTGGTATGTTTCAAAAGCAAAGAGAATGGGAACCATTGGTCAAGTTCAAAGAAAGCTATCCTTTTGGCATTCAAAGCTTGAGCTGGTAGATTCCATTAATGACAGCACCATAGCCTAGGCCCCGAGGGAGGCTTTAGCAAAAAACTAAATGCATAAAATGTATTTAACAATAAAATCCTTTATTTCCAGTCTCTGGATTCTCTGTATTACAAGTTCAGTTCTGAAGCTGCTGACTTTTAGTGAAGTATGTGCATGCCAAGTGACTTCTAAAAGTCTTTGGGAGATACTATCAAATGAATTAATAATTTTCACTCATAATGTTAACATGAGAAGGCCACAAATTCAGATATTCTTTCAAGAGAAGCACCACCTGCTTCATGAGTAATTGAATTTAAATCTCCACCTTCAATAACTCCACAGCTTATGTCAAACCTAGGAAACAATTACAAAATAAATCACTAGGAAGCTCTGCTTAATCTCATCAGGTTAATAAACGCAGACAAATGAATCACTTGAAGGTAAACAAAAAGGAATAATTGATTGGAGTCTTCTTGATTACTTTATTCTATTTTCTTTATCAAACTATTTTTACCATTATCTTCAACTCAGCTACTCTGCCTTGAAATTATTACTTTACTTCATCTTCAGATTTCCATGGAAACCAATTCAAAGCCTTTCTCTCCACTTCATGATGTGTGGAATTATTTATCCTGATTTCATCAGAAAGATTTTTTTTGTTAGTAAGATCTACGTCAGCATAACCTTTTTTGAAAAGTGGAGGTAAAAAAGAAAATTGCGTCTCTTGGTTTTCAATGAGTATAATAGAACCTTCCAAAGGCACAGAATATTGTCTCATAGAATGTCACAGAGCTTTCCAGATATTTATGAATCTTTTAAGTACTTAAGAAATAGGTGCCCACCAGCAGATGTATTTATATGTGGGGTGAGGCTGGGAGTGGGTGGGTTACAAAAGATATCCTGCCCTGCACCCATCACCTGTAAATGGCTCCACAGATGTCACTGGGGCAAGAGCTAATTCATGGGCTCCTGGTGATTGACAGCTAACGCAGATGTGTGTGGGCACAGACGAGGGCTAATCAGACAGCAAAAGTCCCAGCAGGTCAGAAGTGTCCAGGAGGTCCAGAAATCAGTTCTTTAACATGGGAGCCCCCAAGGTGAGCTCTGATCCTTCTGCTGAGGTGGGAAGACATTCTGGAGAGAGGAGGCACACCTTTCATCCTGGAGGAGGTGTCAGCAGAAGCCTCTTGAGACAAAGGGCTGGCATGGTCCCATGCAGTGTGGGGACCAGTTCCTGGTGCTGCCCACAGAGTCACCGGAGTGTCCCTACATTCTGAGTGGAGACTGGAGGCCTCACCCGGTGCTGCCTCACCCACTCATTACCATTTCCTAGCAGGGTACTTCTGAGTCCTACCTGGGACCATACAGCTACCTTCCTTATCCAGAACCCAGCTCAGAAACTGATGGTAGTACTGAACAATTGGACTAGAGACTGTAACTCAGAAGACTTCAGAACTGTCTCTTCCAGAAGGTCGGCACAGTCTGATTCAAAGGATGCAATATGAGGTGTATGGCAAAACTCAAGCATGTCTCACTTTCCTCACTTTATCACCCTGGCCACTGGCCACTCGGCCTTCCTCCTAGCCCAGCTCTCAAACAGGAGGCAGGGAGAAACTTCACTGGAACCATTCTGAAACAAGGGATCTTTTGATCTTGCAAGTTGTGGGGCTCAGAGTAGGTGGGCATTTAACACTCGGGAGTCATGGAGTTCGGGCCTCCATGCTCTTTTGAATAAAAGATCACCCATTCCCACTGCTAAATTCCCATGTTTGTGCTTTGGGCGCAAGGGTCCTTTATAATCTGCATGACAAGTGACACTGTTGAAGCTCCATGCAGGGCACCGCAGGACCTCTGGGAAAGTTGGCAGCTGGCAGCGCAGACTTCTCATTGTGAACTGTAGCTCTGGACGGGATGGGCCTGGAGCAGTGGTCCTTTAAAAAAGACAGGAATAAGGAACCCTTGACCTACTGCCAAATTCTGTAAGCGCCAATTTTAGGGGAATACAAACAAAAACTTTCTCTGAGAAAAATCGCATATGGAAGGCATGGCACCCAGAGTGTAGGTGAGAGTTTTTAAGTACCTCAAAATGTTAGTTCTCTGCAAACTGCGGATCCATTCACAGCGGCAAAACATATCTGAAAGTGAGGGAGGGGCCAAGCAGAAGTGTGGCAGCCTTGAATCCCTGGAGTTTATTTGGCAGACAGACTAAGGACTACAGGATACAAAGGCTTGCTGAATATTGAGGAAAAAGAGTCCTTGCTCCTTCCCAAATGTCCAGGCTGAGCAGATAAGTCTGAATAAGATGCTATAATTTTGAAACCTTGAGACAGAAGGGCCCTGAGTTTTCCAGAAGTGTCCCATGAGAGTGAAAGAGGAAATCCTGCAGCTGCAGACTGTCTGGGAGCCTCTGAGATCTGGCAAAACATGGGTGAAGGACCCAGAGGTTAAGATGCTAAGGGCCTGCTGCTGAAACATCGGCAATCCCAGGGACTTACAGCAATAAGCCCTGTCTGCTTTCAGGATATATGGCTGATAATTAGGGACATATGAGATGGGGGTGGTGCTGCCTTGAGGTAGAGGTAGTTTCCAACCTACACACCTGAAACAGACATACCTCTGTTGTCATTTTGTCAGTCTCTAGACCACTTGTCAGTCCCCTTTATTTTCACTTCCTCTTTGCCTTGCCATCTTAAAGCCTGTGCTCTGAAATCCCAGAAAGCATGGATCCAGGCTTCTTCCACTGCTCCTGAGTAGCTCTCCTCTACTGAAGATCAGATTCTTTCTTCCCTCTCTCAACCCAGCCTCATCAAAGGCCCAGGAACACCATTCCAGGGGAGTTCCTGATTGATGCTCATGAGTCCCGGAGCTCCTTTTGTCTGCCTGGTTGGCTGTTTGGCTACTTTTATCAAGAAAGCCATTCTCCACAGGCTCCACATATGTCTCCAACACCTAAAGTGAGAAACGAATCTGCAGTATGATGTACACAGCATTCAGGTGGGATAACTCTGACTAACCCAACTCTTTAGCGTTTCCAAAGTGTTTCTGATTGAATAATTTGATGCTGAAATGGCATCCAGTGTACTTCACCCAAAGTGGTAATCAGATCCACTCCAATCTGGATTTTTCTCTTAGATCAGAGAGGTACTTGAGGGAGAAGAACCTAGTGATTTCAAACACACTCAACTCACTTTCTTGATGGGTGGCATACAGAAACTTCTGCACTTCCTATAGTACTTTGTAAGCTCTTTTTGGAATTAATTCATCTCAGACCCTTGAAAAATAGTTGTGCTGCTCTCACTACAACAGCACTGAAATTTTAAAAATTAATTTTCAGAGTCCTAGGAAACAGAAATTGTATTTAAGAGTAAGACTTAACTGTCTACATATCCTTTATTTGGCCCCTTGCATGTGGTTGTAGTGTTGTTTATATTTTAGTGTTTCTCTCTCCAACTAGCTCTTAAAAGGATGCTCAGAAAATATATGTTGAACAAATAAATGAGAAAAGCTGCATTTGGGCTCCGCAGAAAGAAGTGCCAGCTTTATTATCAGTGTTTGGCCCCGGTGTGAGAGAAGGAAGTGGTCACATACATGTCACATATTTTCCATCACTAAAGAATGGGCTGGAGAACTGGATTGTGGATACTGATGGTTGATCATCAGGTAGACCACAAAGCCAGGTGAGCTTAGATAGAAAGGATTCTCAAGCAAGCCTGGGTGGTTGGCTAGTGTCTCTGAATAACAACCAGAAATCTTGCATTTGTATAGCTCTTAATATTTTCCAGTGTGTGTTCCTGCAAGTGGTAACTGAGATGAAAACTAAGCTGTTCTTAAGGGGTTACTTAAGTCTCTCTGGGAAGTGGTAGAGCTACTCTTTCTTCCCTTGAGATGACCCTATGCCCCTTAAAGCTCCCAAGATGAGGAAATGTGCTTAAAATATATAGACTCTACCAGGGATAGAAACTCATCTAATCTGCTTTCCCAACAGGTGCTTGAGTCCCCTCTACAACATATTCACCAAGTGGTCGTCTTTTGAAAGGCTTTTAAATCATGATTACTTCCCCATGAAAGCCTGCTTTTCTATTTTCTAAGAGGCTCACATTTCTGAAGTATTTTTGCCCTTGTTCTGTTACTGAGCAAGGCAGCTCTTCAGATATTGATTTCCTTTAATTAGAGCTGATGAGGCTTCTTCATTTCATTTTTCTATCTTGCTAAGTTATGTCGTGAGTGGTTCTCTTTCTGTGCTCTAAACTTTTTCATTTTCTTCTACTCCAAGTGTCTAGAGTCCATGCCCCTTTAAGCATCCTGTTACCATTATCTGCATTTCTGTTAGGCATCAAGCAAAGAAAGTTCAGTTCACTAAGCTGTGCTTTTGTTTCTCTTCCTTCTCTAGTTACCCTTTCCTTACCTGTGGATAATGGTGGGTGTTTGTTAGAGAAAAGCTCATCTTTATTGCGGTGAAGCCCAGTGTCACTATGATCTCTCAGAAGCAGTCTCCTGGATAAGTGTTTATCCAAGAATCTTGACTTCCAATCCTAGCTGCCAGCAAGGCATATAGCTTCTTGCTGTCTCAGGATCCTCATCTTTTTTTTTTAAAATTGAAGTATCATTGATATACAATCTTATGATGGTTTCACATAAACAGCACTGTGGTTTCAACATTCACCCTTATTATGAAGTCCTCACCCCCTCCATTGTGGTCAGTGTCCATCAGCGTAGTAAGATGCTATAGAGTCATTACTTGTCTTCTCCGTGCTGTGCTGCCTTCCCCATGACCTACC